AATTATTGAAGTAGAGTATCCTATATTACTAATCAAAAGAACAATACTTGTTCAAATTTGATTGGTTCGATCCCACACCATAATGAAAAAGGTTCATCCGTACTATAAACTTGTGGATGTTAACCGTAAAAGAACCTTGAACAATTAGGAACCATTTTTTAGCATCACAATCCACTCAAGTGTATTATATGGAATACCCTAACTTAAGATGCGACAATCAAGATTGGTGGGCTATGTGTAAGATCAAAGCTAGGTCCGTGTTTGACTTTCCCGAATCATCGCCTACCATAGAACAAAATGTTGAACCATTTTAGCAGGACGATCCAAAAATTCGACACAAATTAATAGACGAAGTCGATGACGTCACTTTGTTGAATGATCCAAATGGATCATTTGTAGAAATAGAAGTAAGTGTGGATGATGAAGAAAATGAATGTCATAATATTTCGGATGATAAAGATGATAACTTAAACAATTATTACGATAGTTCAAATTAAATTTATATTTCATTTGTTGTATTAATAAAAAGTTATGTAATTTTTTCTCTTTGTTAATTTATTAATTTTGGCTTTTCTACCTTCACCAAATGTTTGTTGTATATTTTGATTATTTTATATCCATAAAAAATGATGTATTTCAATTTATTTACTCATGAATGGACTCTAACAATATATTTGTTATATTTTATTTTTTTGTTTCATGGTAGATCATACAACGAAAGACTCGTGATAATCATGGTTTGCATCGTCCCTTCGGAGGCAATACCGGATCACGTTCGGTAATCTTGGACAAGCATCACTATCGGAGGGTAATCCATTAGGATCTCCTACCAATATTGATCGTGGGTCTCCAATGACAAGATGTTTTCGTGGATCACACGACTCTTATAGTCATGTAGCTAGCACATCCGCATCGACAGGTGTTCCTATATCGGCACTCGAGGCTCCATCGTCGACCTTCGAGAGTGGCCCTTTTGCATACGTGTCCGACACTCTGAGAGTTCTCATAGCTCATTCCATCGGCAATGTATTGTTTCTATCGATTATGGATCGTATATATTTATTTTTTTAATATGTAATTTCATTAATAATTACGTTTTAAATATTTGTTTCATCTTTTTGTTGTTTATTTGATAGATAACTCCGGATAGTAGAGATTATTCTATGAAGATCTCTAAGATTTTTAAGGAACAAGTGGATAAGGAAGGATCGTCATGGAAGGATGTCCCCGATGTCACTAAAGACTTCTACTTTAGTGAATTTAAGGTAACATATTTATAATTTCTTTATAATTACATAAAAAACATTTCTCATCAAATACGTTATATAAATTTTTTTCTTGTGCGAAATTTTTTGAATGGGATTTCGACAATTATCCATTTATTAGAGGGGCATTGGAGCGTGTCGCTAGGAAACGCTATGCTAACTTCTTACACAAGATCGGTTTGATGGATAAGCGACCTCAATATATGAGTCAAGAGGGATGGGATGCATGGCAAGTTGATTTCAAAAACCCGATCTCGTGGCTCTTTTAGAGCAAGCATCGCGTAACCGATTGTCGGAGATCGTTAGTCCCGGTTTAGGTCCTTCCGGACATACGGGAGGCTCAATATCTTTACGAGAGCATGCACCTCGCTTGGTAAATTACACTCTTTATTATTATTAACTTATTTCATAACATTTCAATTTAAGACTTGTCATATTATCTATAATGGTTTTTTTTAGGCAATAGAATTGGGACATCAACCAATGAGTTTTGAGTTGTTCTAAAGGACTCATAAGAAACGTGATGGTTCATTCATCGATATACGCTCCCAACGTACATAGGTTAGTATTTTTCAATTTCAAATATTAAATATGAAAATTTATTCTCAAATTTATTTTAATACCGTAACGATTATATTATTATTTTTATAATGCGAGACCGTGTGGAGCGACTAATCAATAAGGAAGTTGAGGCTCGGAGGGATGCGGGAATCTTAGAGTCGAAGTAGACCGAATGCCATATACTTGCAGGCTATCGAGGAGAAGAAGAAAAGATTTTATGGGATCGACGCACAATCGGTGCATTATGTGTCTCGGTCAAGTGGCGGCAGCTCCTCCTCTACGATGTCGCAATACATAATCGATCCGGTTAGCAAATAGGTTCGAATGGACTACGAGGCCACGAAGGAAGAGGTGATCAAGCTTAAGGAGACTATTTATAACATGAAGTCTCAATACGATTCGATGGCATCCTTACTAATGCGACTAGCACCAAAATGCGGGTTGTCTATAGATCCGTCAATCATTCAAGCAATCTACTAGTCCTTCCACTCGACCTTTAGTCAATCCTCCAGGTGAGCAATCAACATAACATGAGGATAAGGATATGAGATTAGACGAGCAGGATGAGTGATGTAATATTCAGTCACTTTATTTATTTATTTATTTATTTATTTATGAAATGTATTCTAGAATGATTTTGTTAATGCTATTTTATTTTTCATATATACATGATTACTTATGATTATTTATTATTAAATGTTATATTTATAATATAGTATAATCTTTGAAAATGTCAACAAAAGCTAAGGAATTACGAAAAAATCATTTTCAAAAATAGCGACGAATTGGTGATAATTTCATTTTTGGGAATAGTGACGGATTAGCGATGGAAATTAGCGATGAAAATTAGCGACGGATTAGTGATGAATTTACTTTCAAATTTAGTGACGGATTTATTTTTAAAATTAACGACGGATTAGCGATGGATTAGCTACAAAAAAGAGTCATCCCACGTCAAGATTAGCGACGGATTTTTTGGGTTTAGCGATGGATTTTTCGTCACTAAATTTTGCAACGGATTGAGTATTCCATCGCTAAAATTTAGCAATCAGCAAATTAGCGATGGAATTTTGTTTGTCTTTATTCCGTCCCTATTCGCAATTAGCGACGAAATTGTTACGTTTAGCGACAAAATTTTTGGTCACTAAAATCTTTTTTTTTTTGTAGTGAATCAAATCTATTTATAGATTTCAAGATTAAGAAGAGAATTTGAAGGGATTATAAATCATTAAAAGGTGCATGAATAATTGAATCAATTACATCACCTTTTCAATTTCGATATTGAATGGTGAATTGAATTACATGAGTAGTAAGAATATAAAATGATCATGGACATTCATTATTTCATAACAGATCATATATTTGTACCTTTATACTTTTATACCTCTATTTTTTTTTTTTCATGTACTCCATCTATGTCATGTGTCATTTTTATTTTCTATGGTATAGTTGTCGTTTTATTCTATTGGTATATGGTAAACCAATAACCCTTAAAAACATTGATAACAACTATACCATATAGCTGCATGATAAAATGACAATTATAATTAGGGATGATCATTTGAATTTTTAGTTCATTTTTTAAAATTTTATAAATTAAAATTCAGTTTTTGGTTTTGATTTTTTCTGTTTAAAATGGTTTTTTTTTTTTTAAATAATATGAGTAGACCAAAAAAACGCAATCAATTCATCATATATCATAATAATGTTAAAATTTTGATTTTTTTGATTCATTTGCATTATTTTAAAACTTAAAAAAAAAAATTTAAAAATCAATTTTTGGTTTAAACTGAAATGAAAAAATTTCAAAAACTGTACCGAATTGGAAAAAAATCGGGCTAGTTCTTTTTTTTTTTTTTTTTTTTTTTGAGTTAACAACCGAATAGAAATTGATATTTATGATCGGTTAATGGCATCTTAACTTTATTTGGGAATTAAAAAAAAAATTGACGTGAAATTTTAGTATACATTGCTCTAAAAGATCTCACCCTCAATTTGGGTTGTAATGGAGAGGAAGAGAATGATTTAAATTTTTTTTGATATTAACTTGCCATTTTGATTTTTTTTTTTTAATTGAAATATCCAATCTCCTCTTCTTGACAAATACAATCAAGTAACTTTATTTTTCATTCATCATTTTCCCTTCAATTATTAAACTTTATTTGTCATTTGGCACTTCGTTCTCTCTCATCAAACAAAAACAATATTTAATATTCATTATCTTTTTATCTGTTTTGTAAATTAGACCTGAAACACTACGGCCATTCTTTTAATTATTGATCGTTTTTTACACAATTTTTCGATTTCATTGAGTTCAATATATATTTGTTGAACGACTCATTGATGATATTTCGACTCCATTGGCATAGGTGGGGATTTTGTGCCTTTAAAGCGATAAGGTTCTCCAAAAAGAAAAAATATATGAGGCTTCGAAGACAGAAGAAAGGCAGGCGTTGATAATACTCAAATTTACGAAATTAACCAGTAATTTGTTTAAGTAGATTCTTTCTTCTTCTTCTTCTAATTTTAGTAGATTCAGCTTTATGAGATATTATATTTAAATGGGCCTGGTTTTCATGCACCATAAATAAAATAAATGTGGCATTAAACATTTTGGATACTATATCAACTACTGTCTGACAATGCCATCCTCTTAGACCAACCAAAAATTAATGCCATTCCTTCTGTCAATAACCTCTCATGGTGCCATCAGCATGGATCCAAGTACAGAAAACAATGATATCGAATAACTTTGGATATTGAAAAGTATATGGATGACCTTATTGTAAAGTAATCTAGATACTCTTGAGAGATTCGGTTGGATTGGATATTGGATTATTGTAAAGTGGATTTATCTTCTATATATTATTATTTTGTATTTAAATATAAAGAAAAGTCGGAAGAAAGAAAATTTTTTCGATACACGGGAACTGATAAAAAAAAAAAAGCCAGTATTTTATTTTAAATTTTAAAATAAAAAAATTTATAAAAAATTATGAAGTCTTAAACTCAAGCTGAAAAATAAATAAATAAAATTGTATAAGTTTGGAAACCAATTTTAAGACCCCCAGCTCTCTAGCTGTCAATCGAGAGCCAATATCCTATAAATAGCTGGTATTTTGTCTTCTTGTGACAGTAAAATCACACACTAGTATAGAGCTTTAGCTTATAGACATGGCCATGGCTCAACCTTTTTACCTTTATTTTCTTGCTGCTTTGCTTTGTTTTCTTTTGCTGAAGGTTAGTTCCACCCTCCACAGCAGCAGCAGCAACACCAACAACAATGGACTCAAATACCTACATTTGACATTTTATCAACACGATACCTTAAACAAAACCTCATTTGTCATAGTGAGTGGTGTGGCAGGAGTAGCAGCTGTTACTTCAACCACATCACCATTTGGCTCCCTGTTTGTTAACCAAGATCTCTTGACTCTGACACCTGATCCATCTTCAAAAGTTGTTGGCAATGCAGAGGGATTTTCCGTAACATCTAGTTTTAATGGGCTAAACAACATTCTTGTTCAAAAGGTTACTTTGCAGTCGAAGGATCACATGGGGTCACTCACTGTTATTGGAAACGGACAAAGCATCCTCCCTTCTGATATTTCCATTGTGGGAGGAACAGGTGACTTCATGTTTGTACAAGGGTATGTGAGATCAACTCTAGTTTACGCCAAGAGCTATACCCTTACTTACAAGGCTGACTTTCACATTTACTGGCCCCCTTATGCAAATCAAGTTTCTCTTCATAACTAACATGCTTAAATTATCCAGTTTCTTTTATAAGCATAGAACGTGTGCGTGTTAATGGTTCAAACTATGTAGCATGCTTAAATTATCCAGTTCTTCAGAAAATTAATTTATGCTTTCTTTCAATAAACGCAAAGCATGTGAAGCTCTGCAGTTTGTAATTTGGTATAAAAAATCTGTACGTCATGCATGGCCTTTTCTGAAATCAATAAATTGATGTTTGTTAGAGAAAAGAGGGGAATTTATTTGCTATCTTCAAGCTCTTTTTAATCTTGGGGAACATGTATTGATTGAATCATGAAGGGCATAAAAAAACAAACTTAAAGCTCTTTTCAAAAGAATTGCTAGTTATGAGAAGCACGGCATCAATCAACTAACTGGCATTTTCTAATCAAATAAGCTTAAAGCAATTGCAAAATCAAAATAAATACCAGACGGCACTAATCATTTAAAACGTCCTGAAATAGTAGTATTTATATACAAAACGAGAAACAAGGTACATATCAATCGCATGCTAGACAATCCACATTCCTAGAAAGCACTCCCAGAACTAACATGTCAAAAAACTCATTAACATAACAATCATCCACTTCTTGCTTACAAACCCAGATGGCAAAAAAGAATGTAAAAAAGAAAGGGAACGAGATCAAAATTGAGAGTAGGGACTTCTTGTATCATATGATTCCCTAAGTGTTGGATCACTTCTGCCATGTGTAGCTTGGACTTCTTGTTTCTTTTTTTCTTTGTTTTCTAGTTTAGGCGTGTTAGATAGTGAAACCCACGTCACAGTGTCAAGTTAAAATTAATGGAGACATCAGCATAAAATTAACAGAATTATTCTAATAAAAAAATTAATAAATTTGTACACCAAATATTAAATAAACTCATATAATAATGGTAGAAAAACAACCCCATGTTCTATAATTGCGTTTATGCCATTATTTTATGCTGTGATGAATATTTTTACCCAGTGATCTCTTCACTTGGGCTGGGCGATTTTGACATTTCCGTTGCCTTTTTGTTTTTTCCCCCTAAACGGGTGGAATGGTTAGCAGTTAACGGTTAGTATTAAGGACCAATTAGACCTTCACGTAACGTTAAGGGACTATTTCACCACCTCAAACGATGAGATCTTGGGCAGCTTGTAAGGGACCAGTGGTGGGTGTAGTTAAGATGGAAAAAGGGATGCTGCAGAATTAACATAAAGGGCAGAATAAGGGACAGAGGAAGAAGAGAGGGACTTCGAGAATGAATTTTATTAACAATATTCATGCCTCACATTGATTGCAATTTCCTATATTTAAGGACACAAGGAATCAATCCTTGCACCTACATTATTTCTTCTAGAATGCTTACTAGCAGAATTCTGTTATGGCTACAGAATATAACAAATGAGGGAAATTTGATTATGTCTAAATAGATTGTTTTACTCGTTTCTTTATTTTACTAATAGACTTAGTTAAACACACTCCTTGGTGTCATTTTGGGCTTGTTGCTCTTCTTAACCGAAACACAACACTCGGTTGTTGTTTTGGGGTTCCTAACAATCCATCTCCCTAAAAATCATCCTTGACCTCGGTATGAAATTTTGAAAACGGGCGCGAATCAAAATCAGCATCCTCCCATGTCGCATTCTCCATTCCCAAACCTTTCCACAAAATTAGCCATTTCACCCTAGCTTGGTTCCCCGTCTTGTATAATCTTCGATCCAACACCCTCTCTAGTGTGAATTTGTCTTTGTTGAAACCCTCCATAAGTGGCGAGTGGTGGAGGAAGATTGGCTAGACCTAATCTTCTTCTTGAGCGAGGATACATGAAAAATAGGGTGTATCGAGCACTCCTCCAGGAGTGCCAAGTGGTAGGCGACCTTTCCAACCTTCCTTATGACTTTATATAGGCTATAGAATTTGGCACTCATCTTTTGGTTCGTGCGTTTGGCCATTAAGGACTCGTTGGTATGGTTGCGGCTTGAGGTAACCTATGTCTCCTTCTTCAAAAGTTCTTTTCACCCTTTGTTTGTCCGCTTGAGCCTTCATTTGATCTTGGGCTTTCAATAATTCTTGTCCGACTAACTTCAAAATTTATTCCCTTTCTAGCAAGTGTGACTCTACTCGTTGCAACCTTAGGGGTTTCCTTAAATGCAGTCGAGTGAGATAGGGGTTTAAAGCCATAGAAGGCTTTAAATGGGATGCTCTTCAATGAGTTGTGGTAGGTGGTTTTGTACAACCACTCAGCAAAATACAACTAGCCGCTCAATACTTGGGGCTTGTAGAAAGTCATACATCCGAGGTAATTTTTCAAGCATTGATTTACCCTTTCGTTTGACCATCGATTTGTGGGTGGTGAGTTATGCTCAAGCAATAGAGTAGTTCCCAATTTCTTGAATAATTCTTGCCAAAATTGGCTCGTAAAGATAAGGTCTCTATCCGAAACTATAGAGTCGGGGAGGCCATGAAACTTGTAGATATTTTGTAGGAAGTGCTTACCCACTATTATTGTAGTGTAGGGGTGAGTGAGGGCGATAAAGTGGTTATACTTAGTGAATCTATCCACTACTACCATGATAGCATACTTCTATTTAGAGGGAGGTAACCCTTCAATAAAGTCTATACTAATATGTTTCCAAGCCTTCATAGGGACTAGCAGAGGCCGTAGTAGGCAAGGATGGGGACCTTTTTAGCCTTGCATCGTTGACACACTTCACCCTCCATTACTTCTCTTTTAACTTCTTGCTTCAACCTTGGCCAATGGAACAATTATTTAGCTCGGTAATAGGTAGCCTTGAATCCTAAGTGTCCTCCACTAGGAGATGAGTGCAAATCATTAAAGATTTTTTATTTGAACTCCCTTGTATTACCCACATATAACCTACCATTATACCTCAACAAACCCCCATTATAGGAGTAGTTTGGTGGCAACCCCCTTGGTTTTTATGATGCTCCAATTACCTTTTGGATATGGGATCCTCTTTATAACTCGTTTAACTTCATCTAGCCATTGTGGTTCTATCATTATGATAATTGCTAGGGCAGCATTGTCTTGCTCTACCTCATGCGACTCGGATAATGTATCCGTCGTAATATTCTCCCTTCTTTTCTTGTATGCTATATGATAATTGAGGCCTAGTAGTTTGTTGAGACTCTTCTTTTATAGGTAGGTGTGTAGTTTCTATTGTAAGAGGTACTTAAGGCTATAGTGGTCTATTTTGATGATAAAATGGTTGGCCTCTAGGTAGTGCCACCATTTGTCTACTATTATGAGGATAACCAAGTGTTCTTTCTCATTGGTTGATAGGCCTTGATTCTTTGAACTTAAGGCCTTGCTAAAGTAGGTTATAGGCCTCTTCCCTTGCATTAGAACAACACCTATGCCCGTGTCACAAGCATTTGTCTCTAGGATAAATGTCTCCTTGAAGTTAGGTAATGTCAATACTAAAGCCGAACACATAGCCTCCTTGAGTTGAACAAAGGATTGTATAGCTTACTCTCCCCATTTGAATGCATCTTTCTTTAGTAGATTGGTCAAAGGCCTACCGATATTTCTATAGTTTCGATGAGCCTTCTATAGTAGCTAGTGAGTCCTAAAAATCCCCTAAGTGACTTGAGGTTACTTGGTAATGGCCATTCCCTCATGACTTGAACTTTAGAGGGGTCGATTGCTACTCCCTTCTTTGTTATTATATGGCCCAAATACTCCACTTGATCCATTTCAAATGAACATTTGGATCTTTTAGCATAGAATTGATACCGCCTTAGTGCTTGTAGCATAACCCTAAGGTGAACTAGATATGCCTCTAAACTACCATTATAGATAAGTATATCATAAAAAAAACCAACACAAATATCCTTAGATAATTAGCAAACACCTGGTTCATTAGTGTTTGAAAGGTGGCTATTGGTGAGTCCAAAGGGCATAAACTTGAACTCATAGCCTTGGTGAGTTCCGAATGCTATATTTGATGTCTTCCTCGACCATTCCGATCCGGTGGTAACCGGACCTAAGATCAATCTTAGAGAAGATTACTTCTCCATTTAGCTCATCCATTAGCTCTTCGACCGAGGGAATGAGAAATTTCTCCTTAATAATAATGTCATTCAACCGCCTATAATCTACATAAAACCTTCTAGAACCATCTTTCTTCTTAACTAATAGCATTATTGAAACAAAAGGGGAATGGCTAGGTTGGATTAGGAAAGTTTATAGCATCTTCTTCGCCAGCCTTCTCTACCTCTATTTTTTGGAAGTAGGGGTATCCGTAGGGCTCAAGTTGATCTGGTTTGGTGTTTGGTTTTAGGAGAATGGTTTGATCTAAGGCTCGATGAAGTGGTAGTTCCCTTGGCTCCTCGAAGATATCTTGGTACTCATCTAAGAGGGAATTCAAGTATCGATGTGTTTCTTCCCCCTTCTCCTCACATATCATCATAAACATGTGGCCGATGACCCCTCTCGTCCTTTATTTAAAGAGTTTTTACTCTCCTTTCCCTTTTAGTAAATTGTAAGACCTTTCTCTTTTTTCAGCCTTCATGGTGATTTTCTCATTTCCCTTATGTATGGTGACTTCTTTAGTTTTAAGGTCAAAATATATGGGATTGTAGCTTTCCATCCAATCTAAACCAAGCACCACATCATAACCCCTAGGTCTAACACCCCTAGGTCAGCCTTATAGTCTCTACTTTGCATCACCCATTGAAACTCCCTACACCTAGGCTTACTCTTCATTCTCGGCCTCATTAACTATTGTCACCGTCGGTGGTGTAGTTTACATGGTGTAAAGCTTTAACGCTCTCACAATCCCTTTGTCAATAAAGCTATTAGTACTCTCATTATCAATTAGAATACAAATACCCTTTTTTCATACATACTCTTTAATTTTGAAAGCATCAAGGGAAGCCTTACCACTCAAGGCATGTAATGAAATGCCATTGTCAACCTCGCCTATTAACTCCTCCTCTATCGCGGAGTTGTTCTTTGTCTATTCCGATATTGTCTTGCAACTCCCCTAGTCCACTTCCTCTAGCATCATGTGTACTAGCTACTTCAATTTACATTGGTGCCCCGGAAAATATTTATCCCCATACTTAAAGCCTTTATCGGGTTCTCTCCTCAATTCATTCCTATTATTTGGCCTCGTTTTAGTATTCTGTTTATGGTTGGTGGGGTTGGTTTCTATTGGGACTTAGGGTTGGGTATGCTGGTTTTGGAATAATAGTGGTAGTTAGGGAAGGTTTTTGAAATCGAGAATGGTGTATGTTAAGTGGTTTGTTTGGATTTTGTGTGGTTTTTCTTAAGGTCTCATTGAGTTGGCTTGCTCAAATACTTCTCGGAGGTCCATAGGTTTGAATCTCTTCATTGTCGGGCTTAGGTCTTCCTTGAGCCCTCATATGAAGACCTTGACCGAATACCCTTCTAAGAAGCCTCGGATTCATCCTTTTTACCAATGATTTCGGGTCCTCAAACCTCTCCCGATATTCTTCCACAAGTGTCGGCTTGTTTAAGCCTATGAAACTCTTTTATCACAATTTTTTCTTCTTGCTCACCAAATCTCCTACATAGATCCTCCATAAATTCTTCCCGGACCATCCTTCCTTTATCCTTTTTCCATTCGTGAAACCATGTGTCGTGCTCGATATCTAAAAACATAGCAGCTAGCCTCCACTTTAGCCTCCTCCCTAACTTGATACACTTGAAACGATCTTCGGCACTTCCTAACCCACGACTTAGGGTTAGTCCAATCGAAGTATTGGAACTCCATCTTTGGCCATAGCTAATTGGGTGCTTGGTGATAGGTTGGTAAGTCTAAGTTAGTTATGTTTTTTTGGTTAAGGTATTGAGGAGCAAGGTTATGTTTGCTATGAGATGAGTGAGTGTCTATAGGTGTGGGTAGGATTCCCTTCCCTATGTCTATGGTATGAATAGATGAACTCGCTAGCTCCCTTTGATCCACCAAAATTGGCGGTGTCGAGAAGCTCTCATAGCTTCTACCAAATCTTTTATGGCCTCGTTGAGTTTGGTTCCACATTTATTTATTTTTATCCTAGTGTTGTTAAGTATTAGTTTGGATTTTTGCTACATCGACTAGTAGTGATTAAAGCCGGCGCTCAAGGTTTTTGACTTGTTCATCAAAGGTTTTTAGCGTGGTATCTTCATCCATGGTGCGTAAGAGCTCTAATACCATTTGTAAGGGACTAGTGGTGGGTGTAGTTAAGATGGAAAAAGGGATGTCGTAGACTTGGCAAAAAGGGCGTAATGAGGGATAGAGGAAGAAAAAGATAGCAGAGAGAAGAAGAGAGAGATTTCGAGAATGAATTTCATTAACAATATTCATGCCTCACATTGATTACAATTTCCTATATTTAAGGACTCGCATTATTTTTTCTAGAATTCTTCCTAACATAATTCCGTTATGGCCGTAGAATATAACAAACTAGGAAAAATTTGATTATAACTAAACGAGACTATTCCGTCCTTTTCTTTATTTTACTAATAGACTTAGTTAAACACACTCCTTGGTGTCGTTTTGGGCTTGCCACTCTTCTTAACCGAAACACAACACTAGCTATCGTTTTGGAGTTCTTGATAAATCAACTCTCCCCAAGTTTAGATCCCAATCTAATCTCCCGACTACATCGTACGATGCCTTTTTTGGCTAAATTGTGGATTGGTTTGTTTAATTTTGCTCTTTCGTCACATCCTTCTCTTTCTTTTCCCCTCCTTCTACAACTTGCTTCTTAAATATTGTGTGCTTGTTTGCTGATTACTCTTACTGCCTATTATAATTTGGATTCACTTGGTTATGGCTTTTTTATTTTGTGTATGGAGCAATAAATATTGGTTTGCTTTCTATTGTTTAAACAACATATTTAGCTTATATTAAAATGTTATGATTGTTTTAGTGTTTGTTTCGTGGTTATAGCCTCTTATGATTTGAATTCCCTTTGTCAAAGCTCCCAAGTCTGAATATAATTTTTACGCTTAATTATCGATTTAAGTAGTTTGTTTTTCCTCTTTGTTCCTTTCTATGTTCATGCTGCTTTACTTCTTGTTGCTCTTTCATTTAAGGCTACCTCCATCTCCCACCAATATCACAAGTACCAAGAACTCAAAGCCCTCCATTTTGTACTCTACAACCATGACATTCTAAACTAAACTGAGTAAATTGTAGTAAATGGCGTGGCTGGGCCAGGGGTGACTCCAGCCACATCACCTATTGGCACCATGTACTCTTACCAAGATTTCTTGACTATCACGTCTTCGAAAGTTGTTGGGACTTCAGAAGGAGTTAGCATAACATCTACTGTTGATGGGCTTAATAACATCATTGTTAATAAGATCAATCTACGATTGAAGAATCACAAGGGATCAATCACCATTGTCAGAAGTGAACATAACATCAAGCCTTCTGATATTCCTATTGCAGGAGCAGAGGCACTGATGATTTCATGTTTGTACAGGGCTATACGAGAAATAAACCTATTGAATTCAAGCTTATATATGTTATGTACAAGGTTGAGTTTCATCTCTACTGGCCTTCCTATGCAGATCAATATTCTCTCTGTAAAATGTAGTGAATCCTTGCGTCTCTGTGCAAACATGTGATGTTTGCTTTGCAGCTTACGCTTTGCTTGGAGCCTTGAGATGGGTTTTCCTTCAAAATAATTTAGCAGCCTTTAGATACGATAACAAGTTATAAGCGACAATAGGAATTACGTCTTAGTGTTCCATTTGACACCTAGGTTCCTGACTTCGTGTTAAAATGGGATATGGGTATAAGAATTCAGAAACCCACATCTTACTATAATATGGGTGGGCAAAATTTCCCTCACCCACACAACAGCTTTCTTCCCGTTCAATCTTAAGCAATATAAATTCAGTTATACGCCATACAGGTGACAGTCTGACAGATTAAACATTATATTTCATCTCCACTTTTTATGAACTAAACACATCTCAGGAATGGACTTCCACATCAATTTTGTCCCATGATAACTTCACATATAAGGTCTTTAAGTTGCGAAGCTCCCATAAACAAACGACAGAGACATTTACAGCTTCAGCATGAACCATTTGATGCAATAAAGAATTTCAAAATAATAATAATAATAAATAAATAATAAGAAATCTGGGAAACAGATGCTCAAATAGGAATCATCAGATTTTAGATATGATAATTGATCGAGTACTAAAAACTACGTGGGCTACTACAAAAAAAAATCGAAAGCTGATTGAGAAAAAAAAAACACGCAAGGAACAAGCTGAAAATTTGATCAGCAATATTTCTGTGAGAGCATTGTGAATCTATAATTAAGATCGAGGCTTATTAAGACGAGGCTGATTGCAGAAAGTCCGTCCATTTGCCTTCACAAATGCTCCAATAGCAACACTAAGGCCAGCCCACATGATCGAAAAGAATAAGTGCTGCAGGTCATACCGAACTGCATAGAAGATCGGTAAAATAGCAGAATGTCATTGACCAATATGATATAGAGGATATCTTTCCATGGCAATTATAACTTTTTGATTTAATCGTGCCAGTATATTAGATATGAACCTTTTTGCAGTAAATCAACTAAAAACATACATATTAAAGTTCAAACTTTCAAGCACATGCACCGAGTGACTAACATAGGTTCACTTCTTGTAATAGCTACAGAGGTTCTACAGATTAGATAGGAGTTTTCATTAATGTCTTTACAGCGTCAGTGAAGCAAATCTCAAGATAAGGTGAGATCAAATTGCCTCAATTTTGTGCTGGAATCCTAAAGTGTGTACAACTCATCAAACACAGTTTTAAAAAGGCCATCCTTTTTAAATCCTTTTAACCATGAAGAATAGTCCTCGCAATATCCTATTCTACTGTTTCATGAACCATGGCACAAAAAAAGTGGGATATTATTTATCTTAGCACAATTAGGTACTGCAAACGAAGGCAATTTGTCTGTTCCTTTTCAAATCAGAGCATAACGCACCTTGCCTAAGTGACATCAGGGCCAAAAAGAAACCAGTCAAGACCAATGCCAAAGCCACCGGGAAGGACTGCAAAACAGGAAAAACAATGAGGCCACAGTACAAGGCTGTATATAGACGCATCCAAGTTGCAACTAAAACCACAACATAAGAAGGTTGCATAAATCCACAATTTAACTTATGAGATCAAACAGCCAAGGGAAATTCAGAAACCATTTAGGCAAAGCATTTCAGCACAGATATTTAGATATGAATTCCGTGCTGTGAACATCACTGAGAATGATACTGATCACAGATATTTAGATATGAATTCCGTGCTGTGAACATCACTGAGAATGATACTGATCACAGATCACTGAGAATGATACTGAAAATCCAGAGAGATGTATAAACCATATTTAAATTCTAGCCAACTTGTACTCACAGCTACACTCTCAAGGCCTCGTGTTTGAGCTGGAGGGGCCATATCTCGGCTTACAGAAACAATATAATGTCCTTGTAAGAGATCGTTTGCATCCTTCATGCCCATGCCAAAAAAAAAAAAAAAAAAAAAAAAAAAAAAAACAAAGAAAATAGAAAGTCAGGATCCAAGCTAAGAATTTCAAAAGATATGATGTCTTCTCACAATATGGAAACAAATGTATAAAATGGCCCAAAAAAGGAATAAAAAAACAACAAAAGATATTTGCAAGAAATCTTACGGCATGTATACATTGCTTTTATAACATGAAGGATCACCCATACAGACCAGGTTAATACAGCATATTAAGTATCACATTGATCAGCAAGATAAAGCTTGTTGAAGCTTCTATACAAAAGATTGTCATCAACTAACAGAAAGCAAGGAAAAATTGTAGCATTACTGAATAAAAAGAACAATCACAAACAGTGATAAATGTTAATACTCTATAAATACTACAATTTCTTAATAATCATTTTGAGGATCTAACTGAAAGAAGAATGAAGATATCAACCTGTTTTGTGCCATCACAAAAGTTATTGAAATAATAACGGGCAAGGGCATTTTTGCCATCATTAAGGATCCCCTGGATGGTCCGATGGCCAAATCTGAAATTACATAGGAGAGAAAAATGTTAACAGTGCAGAAAACACTTGTTTTCATGCTAATGTAAATGTCACTGTCATTAATTTTCAAATATAGCCACCATGATCGCAGCAGTGTGGAGTAATATAAAAATAAGAGGCAGAGTGGCAACAAGTAAATAGAGAATATGCAACATGTAACAACTGCATAAGCTTGACCAACATGCATACATGCATCAACTCAATACAAATATAATGCCAAAATGAGATCAAGTTGCATCTGCCAAAGCCATCCAGGAATCAGAGATGTATTTCACTAATGATCTTCAGTTGAAAAGGTCGTAAATATGCATGCATGTGTCTGCACATCAAAACTCTGGAGTAAATCCATGGAAAGCACCTCACAAAGTCTCCTTTTAAAGCAGGGGTGCCAGAATATTGAATGCTTATCTCATCCCCGTGATTAGCCCACACTGAAGATCAAAAGAGCAGTAGAAAGCAAAAGGAAAGGGCATTTAGATGCTAGTGAACCATGTAACAGTAATAGACAAGAAAAGAATGAATGTGAAGACAATGGTAAGCTTCATAAATGATTTTTTTGAGCAAAAGCAAGATGCGAATGTACTCACATATTTTATAGCTTTCATCAAAATTTGGATGTGAGCTAATAGTTTCTTCAGCACCAAAAACACCAATCCTTCTCAGTTGGAGTTCTAACATTTTTCGACCTATCATGCTCTGTAACCATGACTTAATACTGTTAAAAGAAGCAAATGATTCAAACATGCAAGAATTTATATTCACATAACAGCAATCTCCACGCAATATAAAAAGGACAAGTGCTTAATTCTGACTGCTCAACCTATTTCCAGTTTTAAAAAAGCTTTATTCAGAGAAATTTGTTAATTTCAAGGTAGCAGTTCAACAATAATCTTACACAACTGTATGCATTTCCTTCAGCATGACTACCTGAATGAATAGATGCATATGGAAGAGGCACTGCAACCCAATACTCTGAAACATTTCATCAGGAAAAAGAGTTGGGGGGGGGGGGTGTGTTTGTGGTGTGTGGGGGTGGGAGAGAGAAACACACTGTAAGAGCTCAAGAGAACACAACTATCAACTTCCTGGGCATATGCTGCTTATCTGGTCCGACTCTATCCACTACAGCTAGATAGAATGTCACTCAAATGTTGAAATTAACCCACCTGGGTAACATTTGTACGATCTAAGCAATCAATACAGTTGGTCCTCACAACCCCAGTTTGCTCTTTCATTTTCTCACCCTTTTCGTTTAATAAAAGGTACCTGCCAATTACAAAGAAAATTAGAGACCATCATAAATTTCTATGATCAAATTATTTAAATCAAACTTGCCCTCGTAAGGACACAATACAAGAAAAAAATTCATCAGTCCCTCTACATGAGCAAATGAAACAAAATACATCCAGTTTGAAATATTCATGGCTCCTTTAAAGAAACTTACCCATTTTTCTCAAGGAAATCAACAATTTGATCATAAAGGATTGAAAGGCGCTCAAAGTGAACGTGGCCGCAAATTTTGTGAAAATCAAAGTGCAGATATCTGCAATATTCAATTATCATTTGCATAACAATGTCTTCAAAATAAAAATGATGAAAGGTTACATTTGAGGAAGTTCTACCTTACATCATCACTAATGACACGATGCATTGCATTTGCAAATTTTTCACTCAAGCGTCCCTCACCTCCATGCTGACACAAGATGAAGGAGGATCATAAACAAATGGCTCGAAATGGTGGTCTAGACAGAAAAACAACAACAACACACACACATGCAGGAAATTAAATAGCCTATACATACATTATTTTTGTATGCATATTGAGCCCACAACTCACATGTATATGCATGTCTGTTGTTTGCTTTAACAAAATACACAAGCATACTAAATTTACCAAGCAATTCTCATGTGGAAGTCATCATGTACAAGAGAATAATGACAAAACAAGTTATTAACTATCCAAGTTTCATCGAATGAGGAAAATTATATGCACCTTGTTGACAAGATCAACTGCAAATACAGCACCATATTTTTTTCTCAAATCCAGAAAATGCCGCTCCACCACTCGAGGCTGGGTAAAATGCAATAAGCATGACATCAATTTACAGAAAAAAATTACATAAGTGTATATTTTAACAACAAAATACCACATAATACTCACAGCCTCCTCAGGTCTCACAATCTCAAACTTTGGCTTGTATGTCAAATCAACAACCTGCTCCCAAAGAAATGGAATTGAACCCCGAACCTACAAAAGGAAATCAAAAGAACAAATAACGTGAGAATGAGAGAACTATGAAGTAATTTCACGTCTGACAATAACCTGCCATGCAAGCTACTAGAACATATCTAATCAATAGCATATAAACAGCTGTCCAAATTATTGATCTTGTATAATGGAAGCCAGCCTCATATTACACCATTATTCTTGCTGTGCATAGAATTCCCTCCCCGAGCACCTAGTTCGGCAGAAATTTCAGGCCCCACTGCTCTTTCCTTTTAGCATTTACAACTCTCTGATGTTCAGTATTTTTCTCATTAAAGGAAACTAAAAATAATACAGCAAGTCCATGACACAAGTTTAGTAACTTATAAAATGATATCAACATTTTACCTGAACAAATGATGATGTGAATCCATTCATCTGTACAATCTGCTCAGTTTCCACAAAATTAGCAACATATCCATCAGAATCAGCTCCTCTTCTCCACATGCGAGTGCCTTCAAAGAGGTTCAAATTACCATCAACAATGGTGAGAGATCAAATAGGTAGGCACTCAATAAACATAAAGCAGAATATCTTTTGTATTTTGTTATACCAAGAAGAAGAATGGGACAGATGGACACTTCTACTAGAATTGGAGCACAAACGAAAGCTTGGATTTTATCATACCACTCTAACATGCACAGGATGCCAGAAATCAACACATAGCCTTTTTTAATGTACTCAACAATCAGTTATTGAATGTTTCCATTCAATACTGTGAAAATCAAAGAAGAAACATCTCTCTTAGACACAAAATTATGTTATGGTTTTTTCGACTTTATTTTGAGAGACATTTGGCCACCAAGTTAGTAATTATTCCCTAGAATGATCTAGTTATGATCAAGGTTAGCAAGCTTGGAGATTAATATACAGAATGCATTTTTAGTGCACAACCAACCTCTAGTATACATGTTACTGAAACTTCTCTTTTTTTTTTTTTTTTTTTTTTTGAAATACAAGAACTGCAGCTAAGAACCGAACATATTGGGATTTATAATTATAAAATAAGCTTTAATTACCATTTCGCCTAGTGCATCTCCTAGCAATCAGGGTAACGTCAACAATTTCTTTGCCAATGGCTGCTTGAAAGTTCTGAAAGCCTGATAATCAGTTAAGGATAAACTCAAAAGAATAGGCACTTAAAACTCAAATAGTGGCTACACAAGCTAAGATTATTTTCATATCAAATAACAAAAACTTGAGAAGGATACTCCCTTGGACAACAGGAAGTAGGTATGGATCAAGCTGCACAAGAGACCCAATATATGATCAGCACTTCATTAACTAGAACTCAAGAGAAAAGAAAATAGAGCGAGTGAAATTAATTAGAGTGAAGGGAACCCCCAACCTTGTTGTCTATGAGAACTTCCAATATATAATTGTTCCACAGAAACCTAGGTTCTGCCTGTAACAAACATTTCAAATAAGCAATGCTTCAGATTCACTGGATATTAATAATCACAAGAAACATCAAAGAATATTTGAAAATAATTGACCTAAAAAGATTGAAAACTAATATTCATACACTATAGCAAGTAAAATCAACAAAAGAGAGTGGGGACTTCAAATGCCAAGGACTACCTGTCTCCATAGAGGAAGTAATTTAGACTCGTCACCTAGATCATGCAATCTCTGAGCACTGTAACACAACAGATCATATAGCAGTTTACAATTTCAAATGTGTACATGCATGCATATGAAAACACAGATGCATAAGGGTTTTTTTAAAAAAAAAAAAATGAAACAGAAATAAGATTAATTAATTTGATTATATCAAAATGGGATCAATATTACAAGTCCAAATTCAAATGACCTTTTGCTCAGTTAAAACATTCATATGCAGTGTTTTTACCCTTTGTTCAATATTAGCATCTTGTTTAAATTCCATAATTAACTCTTCCAGTAGTCATTACCCATTCGAATTTGGAGTTTTGTTTTTAGTAAGATTCCACCAAAATTTCAACATGCAAACTAGCACTTTATTTTTTCCATATGCGTAATTAGCAATTGTAACTTGTACTTCTCTTTAACCTTAATCTTGAAGAGTTAAAGCCTACAATCACTTTTTTTTGGAAAAATTCAAGTTCATTAGTATTGTCTACATATCCATACTATAAGGTGTCGTTTGGTTACCATGAATGAAAGGTCTAAAATAAAAATGCAAAAATTAGAATGAAAATTAAGGAATCGAAATAGCATTTATATTCTCATACCGTGTTTGGAATAATAATAAGGAATCGGAATGCAATTTAAATTTTTTAATATCTGATTTTTTATTCAAATAAAAATAATGATTAAAAAAATAATTTTATCAAATTATAATGGTTGTAAAAATAATAAAGATAATGATGGTGGTGACGCTTGTGATGGTGGTGGCGATGGCAACGGTAGTTGTGGTGGTGATTGTAGTTATGGCGATGATTGTAGTTGTGGCAATGGTGATTTTGGTGGTAGAAGGGGTGGTGGAGCGGTGGTGGTTACGGTGGTTATTGTGATGGTGGTGGTATTGATGGTGATAGTAAAAGTACTTAATAAACAATAAATAAATAAAATATATTATTATTTTGGAAAAAAAAATCATTTTCATTCCTTATTTTTATTTCCACATCTTAAAAGGAAATGAAGTTGTGTGTAATTTTTATTCCCATTCTCACTCTTCATTCTCATCCATACTTCATTCCTTTTAACCAAACAGCTATAACATGGGAATAAAACTTCCATTCTCACTCCCACCACTTTATTCTTAATTACCAAACAGCACCTAAGTATACAAACTAAAGGAAGATCTAGTAAATTTAAACTGAATTCAACCACCAGTGCTGGGAGAAAACCATCCAAGAGGGCCACTTAAGGCCTCCTCAACAACTTCAAGTGTATAAGAAAGCATGCACTGCCTGTCTCCAATTAAACATAGACATACATGACCAAAATGGAAAAGTAATCACCTCAGTGTTAAATTGGTGTCATATGAGAAATATAGACCAGAAGTCCTCTCTGCAACATTAAGTAGCCCAGAGAATTCCGTCTCCATCTTTCTCTGCCAAAGTCATTATGTCAAATAATTATTCAAATCATTCACTAACTATAAAGCCAAACCGAAAAATAAAGTAGCAGCAGGCTTACCTGCTCTGCATTAGAATTTTTAACAGATTGGTCACAAGGTAAAATCTTCAATGATGTAGCTTTATAGATAGGATATCCTAAGTAAGAACCAACACATTCACGATCCGTGATAACTATTAAGTACGACCCTGAAAACATAGCAAAAGATGAAAACCTTGTCATAAGAACAGAAAATTTACAATCCCCTAACCGAAAATAACTAACATTCTGGTTTATTTTACAATTCCATTAGAAAAACAAGCAACTAATCATTAACTTGAATCACCATAATCAACATTTACAACTAATCAATATGTAAACATTATGATACAGATTGTGCACTTTTTACCTGCCACAAGCTTTAGCATCCCAATGACACCAAAAATAGTCCTAATTTTAGGCACCCTGATAGAGCTACACTCAGGAACTTCATCTACACACACCAAAAGAAAAAGAAAAAAGAAAAAAAAAAAAATCTAAGAACAAAACTTTACAATCAAATTCAACAAAACTTCACAAAATAAGGCAACAAACCAATCAAACACATTGACCCATCAGCCTTATTGACTGCCAAAGCAGAACCAGAAGATCCATCAGTTGGTTCAATCACATATTGATCTGGGAATTCCCATAAACGCATACGCGTGTATAATTTCTGCCCTGACTCTGCTCTCTCCATCATTCTTAACTCGAAATTTTTGAACCTTTTAGATTCAAAAAAGCCAACAACGAATAACAAGAAAAGCCAAAAAAGTTGTCAAGCGTGAGATCCAATAGAGCTTTTTTATCGGTTTGGTTTTCTGATAGGAAGTGAAACTGAGAAAAACAAGACAGAGAGTGCCGTGTTTGGTTTCAAGTTAGAAAATTTTAAGGTGGTATTTTGACGATTTGAAGTTATAAACAGAATAGGGCTAAAAGAATGGCGAGGAACTATGCCTGCATTTCGGGTTTTTGAATTAGATTTCAGATATAAAAGATGACATGGTCAATGTCATAAATTTAAAATGGGCGATTTTTAGACCGCTGGATCTTAGACATGAATGGTGTTCTTTGGCCCGTACAAGATTGAAGTTCTACTTTTTTTTATGGTTATGGTTGCAAGCATGATTTTTATGAAAGCTGAAAATAAGTAAGACCTAATTTAGTCCCTGTATTTGTAAGAAAATAAGCATTTAATTCTTCTTTTTTTTTTTTTTGTAAAGTTTCCATATCTAATCCACATTTTCATATCTGATTACAACTTAATGCCTCTAGTAGATATATTTTATTGTAACTTTAAACGATTTTATATCTAATCAACATATTTTTATATTTGTTTATAACGTAATCTTTGTGACAGATATCTATTATTGTTACTTCAAATGTTAATGGATAAAATAATAATAGATTTGTTAAAAAATCGAGGATGATGAAAATTAGTTGAAAAATTACTTTATGAGTTTGAAAATAAAGGGATTAAGTTATAATTTTATTTAAAATATAGGGATAAATTATATTTTATGTGTAAAAAAACTTTGCCAAGTTTGGTTTTCCAATTTTGTGAGAAAGAATATTATGCAGTTAAATTCTAATAAATGCATGAGTAAGCTCGTAGATTTTAAGTTTTATTTAAATTTATGATTGGAAATAATGTGTGCAGATATAATCAATAGAGGAAAGGATTTCTTTTTATATATATATATATATATATATATATATAAATGAGGTTAGTTTGTTAAAGAATATATATATTGATCAATTAATCTCAAACTAATGTATCCTAAAACAAAAGACGAAAATCTGAAACTAATGTTACGAAATTAAATCTCTCTGTTTTTTTTTTTTTTTTTTAATGGGATCCACATACAAACTAATACTTATTTAGAATATAGGGATAAACTATATTTTATGTGCAAATGAATCTTTGCCATGTTTTGTTTTTCAACTTTTTAAGAAGCAATATTATGCACTTAAATTCTAATAAATGCATGAGTAAACTCGCAGTTTTTAAGTTTTATTTAAATTTATGGTTGGAAATAATGTGTGTGCTGGTTACTATTTTTCTACACAAGATATAATCAATAGAAGAAAGGATTTTTTTTTTTTAAAAAAAAAATGAGATTCGTTTGTTAAATAGTGTGCGTGCATATATATATATATATATGTGTGTGTGTGTGTATGTACATGTGTGTATGTATGTATATATGTGTGTGTAATGTCAAACTAGTGTATTCTTAAAAAAAACAAACAAAAAACGAAAATCTCAAACCATGTTAAGAAATTAAATCTCCATTTTTTTATTGTTATTTTATACTTGAATCCACACATAAACTAATACTAATGAGAAATTACTATCTACATAGAGAAGACACTAATCTTGATCAACTTAGTGTAATAGTATGAATATAATTTCATTACTTCAAAAAAAAAAAAAAAAAAGAAAAAAAAAGAGTAGCATGATTTGATTTTCCAATTTCCAACTTAAAAAAAATGGGAGTCTTTTGTAGAGGTGAGCAAACGGTTCGGTTAATCGAAAATCGAATAAAACCGAATCGAATTATGTAATTTAGTTCGGTTTTAAAATAAAATTTGTAAAATTTAAAACCGAACCGAAAAACCAAAATTATTTTGGCTCGGTTCGATTTTTGAAAAAAAAAATTCGGTTTCGACCAAAAACCAAAATAAACTCGTAAAAAATCATAAATTGTAATTCTAATTTCTAAATCCCTAATTCACACAAACATAATCACGATTTACCTTCCTAAACATTTCGACCACACCCAATTTTCTCCTTTTCATTACTTGATTTATGTCTTCCCTAACCGGCAATCGACCTTCATTCCCTTCTTCTTCTTTAGTTCTCTTTCCGTCCCTCATTAGTCATTAGTCAATAGTTAGTCCCTTCTTCATCCGTAATCCTTCCGTCCTCCAAATTCCAATCTCACCGATCACCAACCACCGTTTGCTTACCCATCACCATCACCTCTCTCGTCATCTTCCTCTAGTCGTCGATCATCGGTCACCACCCATCACCCTCCTCCTCCTCCTCAACTACTATTGGTCTCTTCCTCTATTCACAAGCTTGCCCAAGGTCGGTCTCCACTCGTGAACTCACTCGTCATTCTTCCTTTAGTTCCTTATGTTATATGATATTTATAGTATTTATTGAGTTGTGGCGAATCCTTTAAATTAAATACTAAATTAAATACCTTTCAACGTTATGAGAAAAATCTCTTGGTTATTGTTAGCTTATTGAGATAACTCAAGGTCACTTCTTCCTCTAGGGAAACAAATCATAGGCCATGCGATGTCCTTGAATATTGGGTCTAACTTAAAATGAATTGTTGGGTTTGTTGAGATAACTCAAGGTCCAATAAGCGAGATAAAAATTTATATTCACATAAGATGTGATATGATAAAGAGTTGTCATACCAATGAGATTAGGAATTGATTGGATTCAATAGGTAAGGAGTTACATACCTAATCCTTCATGAATGACTTATTGAGATAACTCAAAGTTAATGCATATTAAAGGATAGGATCCTAACCCACTAAGGAAGATGAATTAAAAATTCTTCTCGAGTCCTATATATTGAAAGGTTATAGAAGTTGAAGAAAATAGTAGGAATGAACATAGATTTTACTTTTATTATTTATGCTTTGTTTTACTTTATTCAATTTAATTAACCAAATCGTACATTTTTCTATCCCGTCAAATTACACGAGTATGACTAATAACACATCGATACAATCGATCATTAATGAAAGTAATACCTTTAATGGCATGAACTTTGTTGATTGAAAAATGAATTTGAGGATAGTCCTCCAATATGAAAAAAATGCTTTATACGATAGAGAAACCTCTCCTAGGTGAGCCTCCTCAAGATCAAGTTGAAGTTTATATAGCATGGATCAAACATAAAAATGATGCAATTACTGCTCGAGCATCATACTTGCTATTATGACGTTGGATCATAGGTGCCAACATAAAGGTACAAAGGCCTTTGATATCATAACAAAGCTTAAAAGCTTATTTGAGGAGAATACTAGGATGAGCACTATGAGATAACGAGAAAGCTCTTTAGAGCCGGAATAGATGAGGGATCCACCATTAAAAAGCACATCACTAAAATGATAGGCTATATCGATAGGTTGGTCGAGCTTGAACTTGAAATGGATGTTGAATTATCCATTGACCTAGTATTGTAATTATTGCCAAATAGTCGTAGATAATTCATCATGAACTTTAACATGATGCACAAGTAAAAGACTCTTAAAGAGTTGTTGTCCATGCTTAGGGAAGCTTAGCCTAAAATTAACAAGAAGAATAAGAGTTCGTACTTCTTGTTAATAAGGAAAAAGTCATGGTAAAGGGTAAGAAAAAGCCTAGGAAAAAGTCTTCAACTACGCTTATTGGAGGGATGAAAAAGGCCAATGCTCGGAATAGCTCAAAGGATGCAATCTGCTTTCATTGTAAGAAAAGGTAGTGAAAGTGCAACTGCAGGAGTACCTAGATGAAGTGAAGAAGAAGAGTTCTACAACCACTTCGGTATTTATGTTGTTAAAGTTGATTTTTTTTCTTTCTAATTCCACCCATAAGTATTTGATACTAGATATGGTGCTCACATTTTTTTAAATGTGTAGGAGCTTAAAAAAGGAAAGAAGATAGCTTCAAGTGAGATGACCTACACTTGTTGGATCAAGAGTTAGACTATTAATTATAAGCATTTATGTGCTAGCATTACCATATGGGCATGTGCTAGATTGAATTATTATTATTATTTTATTAGAGACCAATGATGTTATTTCCATTTATTGTTATGAAAAAGTTTTTTCATTTTAAGAATAATAGTTATTTTTAAAGATGAGTTTTTATGAAAATATCTTGACAATAATTATGAACATAACTCCCATATATATAACATAGATACTAAAAGACTCAAATGATCTAAATAACATATATTTGTTGCATTGTCAACTTAGCCATATAAATAAAAATCTAATATCCAATCTACATATAAATAGATATTTATAATCATTTGATGGTGTTTAAAGAATCTTATTCACTTGGAAAAGGGACATGAATCATCTTTTAGTGAAAAAGAAAGAAAATGCTACTAGTTAGTTTGACTTTACGCATAGAAATATATTTAGGCCCATGTTCACCCATGTAAGAGGAGGACATGATTATTTCATAACTTTTAATGATAATAGATCCTGTTTTGGTGATATAAAAAAGACACGAATCGAAGCATATGAAAAGTTTAAAGAATGTAGATTTAAAGTCAAGAAATAAACCGAGTAAAAGTATTAAAGAATTTTGATGAGATTGAGATGATGAATACTCAAGCAATGAATTTTAGATCATTTAAAAGGGAATAGGACTCTCTATGGACATCACATTTAAGACATGGTCTCGGTCCATGATGAGTCAAATTAATATCCCTATATTATTTTGGGATGGTCATGCCTTACTCGCAACCTTTATTTTGAATAGGATTTCAATTTAATTCTATTTGATTAGACTACATATGATATATGGAAAGGAAAGAAAATAAACATATCTTTCCTTAATGATTTGAGACTATAAAACATGTGTCAAATAGTTTGAGAAAGAAAAGTAAAAGCCCAAATCAACAAAGTATAAATGCATGAGATATCCAAAAAAAAAAAAAATGGATATTGTTTTTCTAATACTAG